TGCTATATGCGTTTCAGTGCGACAGAACGCAAGAAATTAAAAGTATCGCTATTATCAATGCTTTCAGTTTGAATTTAAAAAATTTGTTTTATCCACATTGTTGGTGTTCTGCCTCTCTTTGTTTTAAGATCTTTAAAAGTTTAAATTAAAATAAATTTTAACTAGAAATTAATTTTAATTTTTTAATTAAAATTAATATTTTGACAATTTCGATATTTTTGTAAAAAAATATCTAAACTTTAAACTGATTCTACATACTAATTTATAGAAATTGTATGTGCAGAAATTGTGTAAAGATAAATTATTCTGATTTTAATTTGACTCTCAGAGGGAACCATCTATCTTATTGTTAGATAATAATAATCATAAATATATGTATGAAAGTTTACTGAAACAATAGTCAACGAATTAAATAATTTTGACAAGATAGTTGAACTTAGATTAAGTAAAATGCTGGATTACGATTATTTTATTAATACTCTTAATTTTTATGCTCTTCTGTTTGCAATCCATGTATAATATATATATTTTGTATATTAACAGGAGCTTATTGATACGTACGGAGAAACAGCTACTGCAGATTGCGGATATGTGGAAGACCTTGAACTTAAAGTGGAAACTGAAAGTGACAACGTTGGTTGAAATATAGCTGAGAAACATTTTATCGATGTCCTTCTTGATGTGGTGCATTTCATGTGCGGTGCTGGAACGCTTTTGCATAATAGGAGAAATCAAAATATGTAGAAAGAATTGAAAAATGGACGACGCATATACGAGGTCTGTTCAAAAAGTATCGCGAATTTCTGCGGGTTACGTATATTCGATTTTCGATTTTTTGTGGCGTTATGTTGGTACTCATGTCTCTCACTTATGCCGACAAGTTCGGCCATTTTGAATGTTCAGTTAATTTTTGACAGCTGCTTTGCTTGTACGTGTTTTGGCTCGTCTTCGATTTTTGCCTATTCCAAAAAATGGATCAAAGAATCTGTATCAAATTTTGTGTGAAAAACAAAATTAAGTGCGCGGACGCATTCCGAATGTTGACTG